TATATATATATATGTGTGTGTGTGTGTGTGTGTGTGTGTGTGTGTGTGTGTGTGTGTATAAAAGCTCCTATGAATGAATGAATGAATGATAATATTTTAATGTTATTAAAAGGGAACCTTGCATTTGAAAAGATTGGAAGCCACTGTGTTATTCTGGTTTCATTCATTATTCACCAAGTATGTCTCATGCTTTCTTTTTTTTTATGCCGTCAACCACACTTCTCTTTCTATCTGGAAAGTTTCTTTCTTTCTTTCTTTTTTGGTACTGGGGATTGAACTCAGGGGCACTTAACCACTAAGCTACATCCCCAGCCCTTTTCTGTATTTTATTTAGACAGGTCTCACTGAATTTCTTAGGGCCTTGCTAAGTTGCTGAGGCTACTTTTGAACTTGCAATCCTCCTGCATCAGCCTCCTGAGTTGCTAGGATTACAGGTGTGTGAAACCATGCCCAGCTATCTATTCATTTTTAAAATTTTTTTAATTGGTGCATTACAATTACTCTTAATACTGGTGATGGCTTCCTCTTCTAATCAAGATAAACTGAACTATGGTTTCTCATTTCTCTAGTGCCTGTCAAAGTGCTTTCTGTCCCTACTTTCTTTATATCTGTATTTTATGTCATCTGTACATACACTGTCTAATGTCTTCTTTCTCTCATTGGATAGAAAATTTCCTAGTAGCAGAAATATCTCATATTCATTTTTAAAAATAACTATTTATTTATTCTTTTATGTGGTGCTGAGGATTGAGCTCAGTGCCTCACACATGCAAGGCAAGCGCTCTACCACTGAGCCACAACCCCAGCCCTCTCATATTCATTTTTAAAATTTTACAGATAATGTGTTCTTTCAAACTGTAAATTAGAAGAGACTAATCACCAAAACTGCAGGTAATGTAAAATCATTCATATACAAGTTCTAAATGTCAGAAGCAATATATTCTAAGAGATGGTTTGTAAATATGCTGTTAGGAGGCTAGAGCATCTTCCAAGTCTCCATTGAATAGAAAAAGTATACCTCTGAAATACTAGTGGAGAGAAGTAAGATAAGCTATGGTTATTGTAACCTTGCTTAAGATCAACAGGTCAAATATAGACAATAGAATATAGACAAAGAAGCAATGAGGAAGCTTTGATTAGGCAATAAGAATCCTCTGGGCACCTGCAGATTTATACCTAGGGGCACTCATGAGTGCAATGATCTTTGTTCTGAAGATCATTCTGCATCTGATCTTAATCTGACATACCAAATATACTTTCCTCTTAGGAAAGAATGACCTGATCTGTTAACATGTTTTTCTAACATCTGGTGTGTGTGTGTGTGTGCACTAACGCACGCATGCCTGCATGTAATGTATACATATTGCACTGTAAATAAGTAAGTTCACATTCTGACTTATTATAAAAGACCCATTAACAAAAGTCCATCTTCCATCGACCTTTTAGTCTTACTACACATGAAAAAATGGATAAAATAAATTTATGTACAAAACTGACAGCTAAAAGCTAGAAAGCACTGCACCATTATTTAATTGCCACCATTGTTTAATTGTTGTCTCTTGCACACTGGAGGTGTGTAAGCAACATGTATGAAGTGAATCAGTGAATAAAAAGTGCAACCTTGATTAATATCAACTGAAATCAGTTTGGAGTAGCAAATAATACCATATTACAGTCCTTTTTCAGAAGTCAACCACTTTCACTATTCATTCAGTAATGCTATTCCCAGCAAGCAGTCTTTTCAAATGTGGTTTAAAAAGACCACAGACTGCATAATATTTTGATCATGTCAATGATTTCCTTGTTTATAGTTAATGAAAACAGTATGTATAATAATGGTATTGCAATCATTCAGATTTGCTACATGTAAATTATATTTTGAAACATTAAAAAAGTTGCCATCAAATTCAATTTAAATTTTTTCTTTCATTCTTTTTTGATATTGTGTGCAAGCCAAAATTTCCTGGTAGTTACCTGTTTCAACTAAAAAGCTTACTTAGTTTTAATCAAAAGTAAATAAATTATCTTTTAAATTATGATTATTTTCTAAATCTTCCAGCTAATGGTAGAACCTTTTAAAAATATTTTCATTAGTGCATTATAGTTATACATAACAGTTAATTTCAATTTGAATGCTCATAAATGCATATAACATAATTTGCTTCATTTCAATCCCCAAAACTTCCCATCTCTCCCTTCCTCCCTCCCCGACCGATTTCTTCACTGATATTCTTCCCATTTATTTATTTTTATGGCATCAATGATAGAATATTTTTAAATATTGAAGAAATTCCAAAATACAAACAAAAGGAATATATTATATATTGGCAAATATCAAAGAAATCACCATTCCCAAATAATAGAAAAACAGAAAAACTAAAAGCATTTTAAAACACATATCTTTAAACAATTTTATCAATGTATTATGACATTTTGCTCAGCAAAGATTTATTGAATTTCATAATCTTATTACAGTAAGTTCTAAGTTTTCAAAACTTTTCTAATTGGAAAAATATTACCTGTTCAAGGCCTTTCATCTGCAATGAAGCCAACAAGAACCTGGCATTTTGATTTTTCTTTAAAATTACATCATTTTGTTAGAATACTGAATTTTATTAACTTTGCTTAATACATATTTTTTTAAAGATTCAACAAACAGGAATCTATTTTTCTGTTTCATGTAACCTTGAATGTTCAATACAATTCATGTATTATATTTCAAATCTTTCAGGTAGAATCATAACTGAGAAATATATTAAGGAAAATTGGGAAGAAATTATTTTAAAAAAAGCTATTGAATTTTCTTGGGGACAAAAAGGACATAATATGTTTCATTCTTGATCAGATATTAGAAAAATAAATTGTTCTAAGGAAGTATAAGGATATCACTGATGTGAAGAGCATATAGTTTTTGGAAAAAGTGTTCTATTTCTAATCAGAGATTAACGCCTCCATAGCAATTGCTGCAAGTCTTCTGGCTCTGCAGTCTGAGATTTAATCAAATAAGAATTTTTGTCCTTGTTATTCTTTCAATCCTCTTGGCTCCTATGGAGCTATGCTGAGGGAGCAAAGACAGCTAGAAAGTGACTGAAATACTTCACAATGATACAACCCAGTTCTCACTGCTGCTGGGCAATTCCTCCTTTATTCCTAAATGAATTAGAGGAAATGGTGATTGGAAGTTCATTTCTTTTTATGTTTGTTAATTTTGTTTGTTAATTGACTTGACAGCTTACTATACTCTGAATGCTATTTTGATTTGTTATATGAGTAAATGTGTTCCATTTTATTTTCCACCAAATGAAGTTAATTCAATTAGGGTTTAGAATTAAAAAAAAAAAAAAGATAGTCAACATGTATTTTCCTGAACTATAACAAAAATATACTGTCCCTTACCTGTTTCATGTATATAATTCTTAATTTATCAACAGGATTCAACATTTTCTCTACCTTTGTGTTTCTATAGCACATATATAATATTTAACAAATATTTTGAGCCACTGAAATATATTTTAACATGCTATTATAGTTAAGTAAACAGTCTGTGCAGTTAATTAACAGTAAAAATTTTAATGCCTGATAATACATATAAATTATGATTACCTGGTAGTGATTTAGACCACTTGACTACTGTAAGAAGTTGCCTTTCACATAGTTGATTAAGACTGGTCAGCAAAGAGCTGGAGGTGTCCGGTTTCGTGTTGTCATGTCCTGCATAGACCACATCTGGTTCAATGTTCATCAACAGGCTGATCAGTGAGGGGATCAACTGTATATCTTGACTTGGTGAAAAAGTGATTCTCTGGCTTAGGGCTTGGCTTTCATTCGAAATGCCCACTGGCTGAGAGAGAGCAACACCATCCAGTGCTCTCATAACCCTGACTTTATTGAATTTTTTAAACTTTCGACCTATGAGAAGAACAAAGAAGGACATATAAATACATACAAACTAAATATCCAGCAATATAATGATTTTCTTAAGCCATAGAATCACAGCATTATGGATTTTAGCATTAATCCAGTAAAATAAAATAAAATCCAATGCTACATCTTAGATTGGAATTAAATGACATGAGTGTTCATTGGGTTAGTGGGTTATGGATAATTACACGAGAATCCAGCAGGAGGTTATGAAGCTCTGTGTCAAAAAAGAAATGAAAAGACAAGTAGCTTTTAGTAGAAAATACCCTCACTATTTTTCTGACAGGACTGTCTCCCAAAAGCTAATGCTACAGACTACATTAATTGAAGTATAGTTCATAGAAGTTGTTGGGGTTTTATTCTTTTAAGAAACTTTTAAAATATATGCATATATGCAAACCTCACAAAATTTTTTATTCACTTTTAGCAGGTTCATAGATGTACTGAAATCAAAGCATGGACTATTCTGAGATGGAAGGTACCAAAATTAAGAACACCTTTTCTAAATTAAGGGAAGATGGAGTTTGCACCTTGCAGTCCATGCTGGTCAGACACATTTGCATTTCTAAGCAATTTCCAGGATTGCTACTTTGATCAATTGTAGAGTGTTAGGAAGAACAAAATGCCTGATGGTGAGATGAGTAGAATTTGCCTCATTAGGACAGATTGAAGGGGATCATGATGCTGATCCCAGCTGCTGCTACTTCACAGATGTTCTAGCATGAATTAGAGAAAGTCATGAAGACCTGAAGGCATATGTTGTTTAGCCCCCCACCTGCTCTGTGCATGCATGAGCTGCCTACCAGTGTGAAGCAACTGTGCTGCTTGCTGACTGCTTACAATAATCTAGACCTGGTCTGGCTCACAGACATGTTTTGTTTGGCTCATACAATGCTGGCCAGAGTTATAAAAACATCCTTGAATTAGTTAGGTGGCAGCAATCTGTTAAAGCTGTTTCATCTGCTGCTTTTAGATGAGGCGTGGGCATTCCAGTCTGCCCAATTCCCACCACCATAGGCCCAGTGGTTAGTTGAAGTTTTACCACCACTCTACCCAGTTAAGTAAGCTACTTGCTGGGCTAGGTAAACATGGGTCTTTGTGATTTTTGAGTTCAGGTATTATCATAAAGATAAAGGATTCTACTTGTTTTATGAAGCTCTAAAGAGTTGAGCTAGAACTTTTAGGTAATAGGGGAACAATTGTCAGGATCAATATGCAAAAAGAATTCAGAACTGTAAACAGAGTTCAAATGGGTTTCCTGGGGAAGGAATGGGTCACTCGAGGAAAGGGAAATAATATTTATGAAGGGAGCATTTACTAGTGGATGCTAAAAATTTTATATGTGTATCTTTTAAGCCTTATAACAGTCTTGCAAGGTAAGAGTAATTAACTCCATTTGTAGATTAGGAAAAGGAAAAGTGGAGACGACATCTTGCACAGTGTTAGAGTAGTAGATCTCAGATTATGTGGCTCCTAAACCCCAATCCTTCCTAACCCCTGACACTAACTCACTGACATTTCAGCCACGGGCTGCATTTTTATTTGGTAAGATTCTGGCAGAGAGTTTAGGCAAGAGACTGAAGGAAAAAGCACAAAATTTGAATTCAGTAATTTTTAAGGTTGGTTCCAATCCCCAAATAATATGATTAACAGAAAACATAACACACCCACCTGAAATCAAACACTGTTTTCCTTCCAATTTGTTTTTTTTTCTTTATATTCTGCATTTTATTCATAATAATGAAATGCTTAGTATTTAATGTCCTGAGTGTAATTTAAATCAGAAAGTTGGATTCTAAAGAAAAGTCAAATTTAGTACTTACATTTAAGATGTACTGCTTTTGTATTTATAAAAAAAACAAATCTTTATATCTTCTAGAAGGCTATACAGATTGAATATAAAAAATCAAAATTTCCTTCAGTTATCTAACCCAGGTTATTTTACAGTTTAGTGGTATAGTAATTCAAATTGAAAACTTAAATGCTTGTAGTTAAAAAAAAAAAAAACAGAAAAAAAGATTAAAAGACTCATACCCACCCCTTCCAGTTGTCCTATTATCATTGTCATCTTTTAGCTATTAAAAAATTATTTACAAACCATTTTATTGTGATTCATAATACAATTGAAGCACACAGCTAAAGCACATCTTTGTAAAGCTAATTCCCAGCCCCAGGTGTAGAATGGTGCAGCACCCCAGGAGGCCCTCTGAACCTCTGGACATAACTAGCCTGCCTCCTGCAGCAATTCTTCCCTTGCTTTTCTTCTTACTCTAATTTATTTTAACTTCCTTTCTCTGTTTTACACCCTTAGGGTGCTCTCTTCATCAGGATTTTATTACATTATGAAATGCTGGAGTCTGTTTGAAAACAGAAACAAATGCTTGACACACTGATTAAACTTTAGAAAGTATTTCTAAAATAAAATGAAATCCCCAGACAATTTACTAACAGTTCTGCTTATGATCAAGTCTTTTCACAAGCGCTAGGGAAAATATGAAAATACACAATAAACACAAAGTCAAAAAGTGAACTAACTCCAGTCAGAATGGCAATTATCCAGAATATGCATGATAACAAAAGCTGGTAAGGATGTGGGGGAAGTGGTGCATCCATATATTGTCAGTAGGACAGCAAGTTGTCAGGGAAAAGCAGTATGGAGGTTCCTCAAAACACTAGGAATAGAACCACCATTTGACCCAGCTATCCCACTCCTTGATATTTATTCAAAAGAACTACAATCAGCAAACTATAGTGATATTACTGCTTCAATGTTCATAGCAGCACAATTCACAATAGCCAAGTTATGAAATCAGCTCAGATGCCTGTTGATAATGGATCAAGAAAATGTGATACATATACACAAAGGAGTTTTACTCAGTAATAAAGAAGAATGAAATCATTGCATTTGCCAGGGAATGGATGGAACTGGAGAACATCATGCTAAGTGAAATAAGCCAGACTTAGGAAACCAAAGACAAATGTTTTCTCTCATATGCAGAAGCTGGAGAAAAATAAGGGGGAAAATAGCAGAAGGTGGTCAGATATCATAAAGATCAATGGAATAGAAAAAGTAGGTCAAGAGGGAGGAAGGAGGATGGGAAAGAAAGGAAATGCAGAATAAATCTAACAAAATCATGCTATATGCATTATATAAATATACCACAGGGACTTTCATCTGTATGGTAAATGTATAAAGCACCAATCAAAAATAAATAAATAATGAGTGAAAGGAAGATCAGCAGAGTACAGGAAGGAGAATAGTGGGAGGGAGAAAGGGAGGATAAATGGTGGGGAATGTGGACTGAAATGGAGTAAATCAGATTCCATGCATATTTGATTTTATCAAATTAATCAACTACTATGTGAAACTATAATGCTCCAAATTTAAAAATTAAAAAATTTTTAAAAAGTGAACTAACATTGAGCTAGGTCACTTATATAACTTATCTAATTGATTAAGCCTTTGAAATAAAGATTAGCATTTTAAAGATGAAGGATTAAATCACAGAGGTTAACTGGCCAAATTCATAATGATAACAGATTACAGAAAAGAGCTATTAATCAAAGGCTATCTTCATTTATTTTTTTATTCAAACACGAAACATTTATTGGCTTCCTGTGCCAGGCACAGACTAAGGTTTGAGACCACAGCAGTAACCACAAAGTGTCTCCTTTTGGGACATTTATATCTGGTGGTAAGATGCAGAAGATAGAGAGGGTCCTTGATGAAAGAGTGAGTTAGTGTTAAACAATGGTACATGTTATGGATAAAATATATGCACTATAATAGAAAGTGACTTGAAGGAATGGTGTAGCATTAAATAGTATGGTCAGGGGGAAAATTGGTTAACTTCAAAGCTGGAGGTTTCCATTAGATCCTACGGTTGCCCCTTTCAATGGCCATTGTTTCCTGAAGTCCATTGAATAATGACTCTTTGGGAGCTAATCAAGCAGTGGCCATCAAAGGAGAACTTTTCACATCAGGAGAATCATATTTAATAATTTTTAAAAATGTATAGTATTATTAAGACATATTTTCCTAAAGTATTAAATTGCTACAATCTTGCCACATCTATCATCTACCTCCTATCATGACTATCAGTTTGTTCTTCCAAAATACTTGTAGAAGACATAGTAAACCATGCCTTCGTCTGTAGCTTATGAAAGTATTAAAAACAAATTGGGGTTGGCCATATCTAGGTATGGATCCTGTCATATAAAAACTTCTTATCTGGTATAGATTAGTTTACTTGACCAGATTAGTTTACTTGACTACATACCAATTTAATAATTTTTTTTCAATTATGGTATATAATAATTAACTTGCAATATCATGGTTAGCCTAGGAAAGATGATGTGTAAAGCCACATAGTAGAGTGCTTGGCCTACAGTAGATACAAATGGTTGTCAGGTACTTTTGGAACTTGATTGGAAGGAAATAAGGAAAAAAAGGAAACTATACCTTTGGTTAGTTTTCATTATCTGGTAAAAAAAATAAGTGTTCCTAATCATATATTCTCCTTTTCCCCCAATCTAAGCATACAATAGCATCTATGACCATATATAAGCACAGCTGGATTATCACCATTAAAGACATGTCTTTCCCTCAGTGCGTCTCACAGCCTTTAATACACTGTATGAATTATGAATTTCTAAGACAATAATATTAATATGTAGCATTTCTCAAGTATATCTTACCTCTTCACTTGATTAAAACCTACTACCATCTCATAAAAGTAACATCTTAGAAAGCATTTTTTTAGAATGTTTTCTTTTTCTGAGGCTTGCTTTCAAGATCAAGCCTATGATTTGGACCTTCTTATTTCCATTATCTAGTATCTGGTCACAGATTTTTCTCTTAGCAAATTAAATGAAACTGTAATTCATTTGGTTTGCTGTGTATTTAATAACATCTAGTTATGAACCATTATCTTTGATATCATATGAAATATGAACCACAAAGTTATATGTGCATCTGTGCTGATCTA